CGGTGAGGAGAGACGGTGGAAGGAGACAGAAAAGAGGGCATAAAAAGAGCACTGAAATGAGATTAATATTTCTAGTAGTAGTAGGTGTGGCCTACACCTTTTTCTATGTTTGTTTGATTCCTACTGTCACTTATAAAATGTTATTAAATAATACAGTTTATATAACAACGCTAAAAACAACGCATTCTGGATGTCTTTGAATTAAAGTAGTTTGCATACTAATTGCAATTTATATTCTGACTACACTCTAGCCTTGTGTGTATAGTATTTTGTATTGGATTTTATTTTATTTTTTGTTTAGTTTAGTTATTTATTTTCATTTATTTGTGTGTGGGGAACTCATAAAGTAAAAATGTCATTGCTAAGCACCACTGCTGTGCGGCATACATGACAATAAACCTCTTGATTCTTCCTAAATTAACCAAATAATAAGTCGAGATTTGTGCTTGAGTCTTCACCAATGGTAAAAGTTTAAATCTTCAGTAAGCACAAAAGCTGTGAGCTACAGATAAATCTCAGCTGGTGTTTCAGTGTGATTGAAAATTTCAAATTCAGTTGCTTTTCTGTTACAAACCTTCAGCTGGAATAATGAATTCTGCTGCATCTAACAAAGCAGCACTTTCCTTTGTTCTGCTAAAGCTCGTACAGCTCAGGCAACATGAACAATAACCACAAATGATGCAGTCCCCCCGAGACCTACTTATAACAAACGAACTCCCATGTTGTGACTGTGATTTATGTCCCGCTTGAGATAATTTAAAAAAACAGAAGGGACTAAAACATAACAAAGCAGATGGAATGAAGCAGAAATGAGAATAGAGCAAAAGTGGACTGGCTTCTTAGACCAGCTTGTAATTATTAGAAATGACAGAACATCATAGTGAGATACATTCTGTCCAAAAGGATCATCTGTGCGGTCAGCAGTCTGTAAGATTTCAAACGTGACATACGCAAGCTATCAAAGAGCGAGAACCAATCACCATCCCTTTCTAGTTTTAATCATGAGGGACAATTACAGAGGAGAGCCACAGACGAAATTACCACCACACAGACTACAAAGCCCAGTCTTCAGAGAATCGCTTCATCTCCTTCATTCCATTGTCTCGCTCTCTCTCTATCTGAAATCCTCTCTCTGTGTTTTCTCTCTCGTTCTCGCCTCTTTATTCTCCTCTGCAGTCTCCCACCAGAGGAGAATAATGCATGCTGGTGTTTTCCCCGCATCCTACAAAGAAAATCTTGGCGTGAAGACTTGTGTAATCCCTCCAAAGCAAATAGGAACGAGGCCTGCAGTTGCAGCTCAGTCTCAAAGGATTGAACCACAAGTCTGTAGAAGGATGTGTTGACACAGCTGTAATTTAAAGACAAAAACCCAGCCTGCAACACTGTAAGCACTCTTTGAAAATCAGCTATTACTGTCTGAATTCTTTCTAGATTGATGCCTGTTTTTATGAATACAAATATAGAAGAAAACATCAAAGACGAGGTTATAGAACTGCCCTTTTGTAATGAAGTCTTTAACAGACGATGTAGTGCAGTGACGAGAGATATTTTTATTCAACCGCTAAAAATAAAAAGCAGACACAGGAAATGCACTGTGCTCTGAAGTGGCTCGTTTTCTTTTCATTTGGCCATTAATTGAAATTAGCCCAAGTTTTGTAAAGACGATTTACATATCACTACATGAGATTGTTTTGCTGTCATACAGCACTTTTGTTATATAATATTTCAAAATACATCCTACAAAAATGACCCAGTATTACTGGACTAAATTACCATCATTTACCAAAATAACTAATCTTCTTAAGGTTTAGTTTAATCAAAAGACTCTGTTGCTGCAGCTTAAATGTCGATGATTCAGAGCATACATCCAGAATCTTTCACAATGCAAAAATCAAGCAGTTTTTAGATATTGCTTTGGACAATTTCTGGTGAATCAGGTCAGGATATTTTCCACAACTGTCCTTTCTCACATGCAGCAAACAGCAGGAAATAATCTGCTTGAGATGTCTTTGCACTGGTATGGTTGGTACAATACTAGAATATCAAACCCAGTACCAACACTTAGACTACTTGATGCCATTTTGACACCACAGGGGAAGAATGTTTTTTCTTAATACAAAGATAAAAATAGTACTGGTCTGGATGTTATATGGCATTTTTCTACTTTCGTGGAGGACTCAAAGCACTTTTTACACCATGCCTCGTTCACCCATTCATACAAGCATTTTTTTTATGCCTAAGTGTTGTCGATCTAACGTTCACACTTCAATGATCAAAGAGCAACTTTGGGTTAGTTTCTTGGCTGAGGATTCTCTGGCATGCTGCCACAGAGCAGCCAGGAATCAAACCACCAACTTTCCAATCACTGGATGACCTGCTCGACCTCCTGAATACAGCCAAACCACCAATAACAACAATGTCAGTCACAGGACTGTACTTAAGTTGTCTGACATAGTGCCAAAAAATACAGTAACATAAGTACAGCCCAAAAGAATAAAATAAAATAACAACCAATTGAAAACAATATTGTGAGGTTGTCAGAGGTTGTTCCGCGCTCGTCATGTCTCATTGCTGATCAAATAGAGTTGGTAAGGCTGTCGTTAGTGGCTGGGGGAGTTTTTCCTGCCTCAGTCACACTGTAGACACATATAACTGTATTATCCTGTTTAATGAACACCGTCTATTAATCGTACTACTGTAATAATAATAGATTGCTAGTGTGACTGTCAGTAATTGCTGGCTACTGTTTATGTGTTTGTATGTCAGCTGGAGGAGGCAGAGGCGCCACTCTTGATATCAATACTGTTGCAAATAAGTATTTAATCCAGTAGCTGTTTTTAGTCGTGATTAGTACCTGAGTATCAATGGTTTCAGCAAGAAAGCTCAGTCAGACTATTGAAATTTGCACTGACTTTGTACTGTAGAGCTGGAACACTAAAGCTCCATTAACATCTGATCCAAGTCTGTTGGACATTAGTGTTATGAAATGACTCACATACAGCCTTAAAGCTGTGATTGTGTGTGAACATTTTTTAACAAGCAATTTGATAATAAGCGACATAAAGAAGCTAAAGCTTTTCTGCTTATTATGCATCACATTATTCAACATTACAACCATGTTTTGGTGGTCTAACCTGATTCCTGACTATAAATAACTTCTGGGTTTTTTTGAATTGCACAGATGATGTTCAACACCAAGACAGGATTTTTTTGCTATGGAGAAAACAGAACAGAGTGGACGGCCAGCTGTGATCTCTGCTCTGTTCCCTTTAGTTTAACTTAACCAGGCTGGAAAGAGAAGCACGGCTCTTCATTACACACTGCTGCAACACACAGCAAGACTCACCATCTGGCTTCTTATCTCGTTTTCATTCTCTACCTCTGTTTGTCGCTCTCGACCTTGTCTCTACCTCTTAAAAAGATTGAGTAGGAAGAAAGGGAGAGAGAGAGAAAGGAGAAAGAAAAATGGTAGGAACAAGGCAATGCGGAAGAGAAGGTAAAGAAGGAGAATGGGGAAAAAACAAGTGCAAAGAAAAAGCAGAGAGAGAAGAAAGGTGAGATAGACAAAGATAAAGTGTAAGACATTCCTTTTCTCTCCTGTTCTGTCTCTATCTTTTTAATTCTCCCTCGCTTTCCTTCACTCCCTAATGAAGTTATCTGTCTTCCTCTGTCACGGTTTTCTCCTGTCTGGGTTTTCTTCAGATAAACAAAGCTTGGCAGCAACAAAGCCTGAAAGTAAAATGAGAAGTTTTTGCAGAATCTGTTGGGGAAAGAGAAACATTGTTTTCATGGCTGAATTTCCATTTCCTGTTACTATCAACTACACATTTTATCATCGTGAGTGCCGCAGATGTCACTTCCCCGTGACAACCACATCAGACAGCACTGAAGAAAACACTGTCCGTCTTAAGTTTTGGTGATTAAGGAGATTAAATTATAAAGTCTTTCCCACCTGTGACCTGTCTGATGATTTTAATGTTGTTACCAATATTTTAGGATTAAAGCTGCCAATAGCTGTTTGATGGTGGATAAGAATTAGCGCTCAATTAACCCTGCACCTGCGTTCAATTCCCAGCAGTGAGGCTTCAGTTTTGAATGCAGTGGTGTTATTGACACAATCAAAAAAATGTGTCCAAAATGCTGACTTTAAGTCATTTGATTACATGTAATTTTGTTACATAAGTAATAGGTGTTGGATTTAAAAAGGATCTGGTTAAATGGTCTGAATGGTTAGTATACATTCAGATCATACCAACCACAATTATAAATATATGTGTAGATGGTAAATGGACTGATTCTTATATAGCGCTTTTCTACTCACTGCATGCCATATCACTGTTTTCAGTGCCTTCCGACTAACATTCATACTCCGATGGAAGCATTGGAGAGCAACTTGGGGTTAGTTTCTTGCCCAAGGATATTTGGCATACAGGCAGGGAGCTAGGGATGTACCCACCAATGTTCCAATCAGCAGATGACCTGCTCCACCAACCTCCTGAGCTACAGCCCGATAAGGCCTCCTAGATGCACTGAGGACTGAAACAGAACAAAGTCTCCCAGCAACTTGAAAGCTTGGCAAATTACCTTACCAGCTCTGCAGTGAAATATGATGATATGACGGCTATGACAATGTTTCCGGCAGCGTCAGCCCAAATGATAAATGTTTTTTCTTTTTGACTTTTTCAGTGTCCTAACACACATTCAACTAGACTCCCTCCCAACATTATTTTGACCCTCCTTTTCTCCCTTCCTGTACTTTGAATTCGTTATAACCTTTTTCTGTCCTTGTTGCCTGTGTGTGTGTGATCCTTGTCCTGGCTGCAGCTGCCTTGTGGGTGACCTGTTTGGGTAGGTCATCCTCTGAAAACTCAGCAGCATCCTATCTCGCTGAAGGTGGACTACGGTGCCACCAGACTTCACCTCATCTACTTTATGAGCTTGTGCACACACACAAACATGCTCACCCCAGCTGTCGCTTGTTATCATTTCCCTTTTTTCAGGCACCTGGCTGAAGTCAGAGGAGACAGTGGCGATGAAAACAAAGAGAGCTGACTTTGCTGCTGCCTTCCTGCGTGGACGGATGGTGGTCGCAGGAGGACTTGGTAAGAGAGATTAACTGCAAACTAATTTCTGCTGATCAGCTTGATTGAAAAACCTACACACAAGGACTTGATGATTTGTAATCACTTTTTACTGCCTGAACACTTTGGATTACTGGGCTTTAGATAGTCTGAATAAATTATCAGTGGCAGTTTTGTTGGCAGTTTTGTTAACTAAGCAAAATCCTGAAACTTCTCTGTAAACATGAGCTTCCCCCTGAGAAATCTCCTGCACACCAGCAAGTATAACAAGGCCTCACAAGCAAGTTCAAACATTTGATACATTTTACTGTAACAATCAAGAGAATCATTATCTCCATTTGCAGTAATGTATACTGTAATTTATACTGGCATGGCTCTCTTGTGGGACCTCCATGCCCTTCCACATGCATACATGAAAAGCCAAATACCAGGACAGCAGTAAGAAGATCCCAACACAGTACAGAGCAGCCATCAGTGACACAGATAAGACATTCAGTCAGAAACAGAATGAAAGGACATGTTGGGATAGACGTGGGTTGCAGACTAAATACATTTTAGTCTTAGCTTTGTAAACTGGATGTATAGAGGACTAGAATAAAGCATAGAGATTATTAGCTGAGCTGTTCTTCTCCATTCTTTAGGTCATGAGCCTTCAGCACTAGACACTGTGGAGGCCTTTCATGCTCATAAGAAGAAGTGGGAAAGGTTGGCTCCAATGAACTTCCCCAGATGTTCCGCTTCTTCTATCGTCATCAGAGACCGCCTCCTGGTAGTGGGAGGAGTCAACCAGGTACACATGGACTTAGTATAAGTGGAAGGGTTATGTATAGTCTGTAGAGTAAACCAGAGAATAGTTGCATTACCTCACCGCTGAACAATCAGGACAGCTGTTGGTATCCATAGTGACAGATGCTGTCTCTCATAAGCAACCCACAGTTCACCTGTTTATTTGTTTCTAAACCTCAGCAAGCAGCTGTGATTTCATGCCGAGCGGCACTCTGTGGTGAAGGACTAGTGAGGAGTAATACTTTCTGAAAAGGACCTTAACAGTCTGACTACCTGCTCACTGCACATCTGTCCCATTGAGATAGAGCCTCTGCTGATCTGAGCCTGCTTTACACAAAATAGCTGTAAGTGGGCTGAAAATAACATCCCCGCTCACACTGGTATTATTAGCAGATTCCCTATCCAGTTAAAAAGATCTTTATTTGCATTTCCATGCATTCTTCTTCTTGTCAAAACTTGGTGACTACATTACCCACAATGCAGCCATATTTTTTTTGCTTTTCCTGCTCCAGTGGCATCACCTGAGGACATTTGTCAGACTTCACGCAGCTCCCTCTGGGACCTCAAATGACTTTTTACAAAGTTTTTCCACACATGCAGTAGTACTCCTTGTTACCTGTAAACAGACTTTGATGTGTAAAAGCTCTGGAGTTTCCCTTCGAGCGCACTTTATAAAAAGCCTTTTTTGAAGTAATGTGAACAGAAAAACAAGCAGATCTCTGTTGTGTGTCAGGTTCTGAATTCAAATCCACAAAGAGCAGCAAAAGCTCCCCTGGCAGGAACTCCACTGCTTAAATAGTGAAAGCAGAATTATACTATTTAATATCAGGTTCATAGTGAACGAGCTCACTGCCTTAGAGGCCTAGAGACCAGCCAAATAAAATCCCTCATCTGATTGCTTTGGTTGTTATAAGACTGCAGTGTTAACTTGTAGTTTGCATGAAAGATGCAGACCGGACTCACCTTTTACTCTTCAAGCTGTATTGGAACTTGAAGATGTTTGACACACGACGGAAACAGAGCATGTAGAATTTCAGTGTAAAAGTAACAAAGCAAAACCAACATTTTTCACTGCAGATCATTTATCTGGGTTTCAGGAGCTGGGCTGCCCTCCAAACACTCTACTTCGAATGATGCATCTATTAATTAACGTCCATTTATTTTTGTTTCACTGCTCCATCCTCCCTCCCCCTCTTCTCCGATGTCACCATCTCAGAGGTATTGGAAGATTTGTCATCCACATTTGGGGTTGGGATCCTCGGTAGTGAAAAGGTTGACCCACCTCTAGGCCTGTGTGACCTAACTCTGTATTTAATAAGGAAAAGGTTTCGTTTTCAAACACCACAAATCTATTAACCGCAGCATGCATTTAAATGTAGTTTTTAATTTAGCGGTGTTATATTACATCACGTACTCCACTAGTATTTATTTGACTTTTAAATAATCTGTCTGAGAATATATGTAGACTCCAAATCATTCAACCTCTGTTAATATGAGTAAGAAAACAGTATTAGCTGATAATAAGCAAATGTACACTGCACATTAATGGGAACCATTTGTCAGTGGAGCAGATTGTGAGATTCAGTATTCAGCATTTTTCCAATTATTTCCAATTAAACAGCAGTGCAGTGTTTTTCCTGCGTAGAGAAAGACCTAAAAGATGTTTTAGCAGAACAAAAAACACCAACAGTTCTTTTAATAACCAGTTTTTTTAATCGTACTCTTGATGTATTCAAGTATAAAAGACAGCGAGACACATAGAACTGTTAAATAAAGTAATACACTCACTGATCGACGCAAAATGACTGACTTGCATGTGCAGTCACGCTCCCGCCAGCCCCATCGGAAGGCTGAGTCCGATCTGGAAAAAGGCCACAGTATTACTTCTAACTATTTACCTTTAAAATAAGTCCATCTCTTGCTTTGTCACCAGTCTGTGGTCCTGAGCAGTAACCTGCTCTGTAAAAGCAGCTCCAATTCACGAGTGATAGCCTGTCAACACTGAAGTGGACCGTGCTACCAGCAGCCTAGGAGGAGCGGACATGTCCGCTGAAGGTAGTAACTTTATTTCAGGTGAGGGAGGAGGAGGGTCAGGTAGCAGTCAATAACAAATTTATAGTCAACACAGTTGTATCTATTTTTATGCCCAGTTTCCAGGTTACGCTTGGAAAAGGTTAAACTCAGAATGGCATGGTAGTTACAGACATTGATCAGTTTTGACCATTTGATTAAATCCTGGATGGAGGAGATAGGATCTGGAAAGAGTACATTTAATAAACATAGCATCACTAAATGGAAAAAGGGGCACATTATGTCAGTGAAGGCAGGCCGACAACAGCAGAGCCACATCATCAGCACTTTCATACCTGCAGTCCAAGCTGCACCATCTGCTGGCAAGAACGAGCGACGCTTCAGTAGCAGCACATACACAAAGTTCAAGCCGGCACCATATATGCTTTCAACTGTTTCAACAGTCCGTGTATCACCAAATCTGATGAGGAGCTTCAGTCAAAGTCAAAAAGACTTTATTTATCCCCAAGGGGCAATGTAAAGTCCTGTCCTCTTCTACGTACTGAAGGTTTAGATTTAAATGTATGCTTCCAATTCAGTTAATAGATGAAGAGATTGACAATGAAACAACACAACAGCACAAGTGCTTCATACACAGTCACAGAAATAAGCAATAAATACTCCTTAGACTGGCTGACGCAACTCACTAAAACAGCAGCACATATCTTAGCTAGTTTTTGCTTATTTTTCTTCATTTTTAGTGTTTTGTTTTTAGCTACTAGCACTAAAAACTGAGGGTTTTATTGCTGTGTTGAAATTTTGGACCAGTCTAGAGATTAATTCATTCACACATTTCCAGACGCTGTCAGTCATTGATGACAGATTCGAGTGGCTTAAGAAAGTCAGCCTGTACATAGAAAATTGAGCACTGTGTAAAATTGTTGGAGAGGTTTTGTGTATAAAATGTCTCTTTCCCAGTTTTGTAAGTGCAAGCTGAGCCTTAGCTAAACATTGTTTCTGTTTAGCTACCAATTACCTGAAAGTGCAAATGGTTCATCCACGTGACAGACAATATTGGACATTTTAGAAATTGTGACACATCCAAAAAGATCATATTACATTAAAATGCTGTACATATTTACTAAGAATGGGAAGAAAAGTAAATTATTACATTGAAGTCAGGGACCAAATGTGTATTTTAATTTATTTCATATATCTGGATTTAGTTTCTATGGAGACATCTCTTCACCCTTTGACGGCCAGTCTTTTCTTTCAGGTTCCCAGCTCGGCACACGAGATCCTCTACATTAAAGAAGAAGAGTATCTGTAGCCTGTAGCGACTGACGCCCAGATGATCGCAGATGAGCCGTGATTCCACTTCCTCCTTCCCGAACACCCGTTGTGACTGTAGTGCAATATTTAAGAACCATCACAAACACTGAGAAATGAGTGCAAGTCTGGCTGCCTGATGTAATGTATCGGATAAGACTGCCCCCTGCTGGGCGTAACTGGCACTGAGCCCCACATGTCAGCACACAGATGCACAATGGAGGAGCTGGCTCTTTCTTTTTACCGAGCTGATCCTTGATACCTTTATGTATGCAACACTTCTACATTGTACACTGTAGTGCATACTTGAGGAAGGAACTATTTTGTAGCTATCGTGTCTATTCCTGTGGACAGAAGATACGTGGAAGATGTATTTATATTGCATATATAGCGGTTTCATATCTGCATTCATTTGATTTACGTGTAGCTTGCCGACTATTGAGTAAGGGTAGATTTCAATTTAGCTAAATGACACAACTGCAATCCTTATCTCTAATTTAATATGATCTAGAAACAGTTGAGTGTTTGGTTAATAAAATATTCAGTAACAACATTTGCACTGAATCAGTCAACACTGAGTGGGAGCTTTGCCTTCAATTATTTCTAGTGTAATGTGTTGTAGTAATTACACTCAGAATGCTGTAATAAAACTCCTCTGTGCTGTAATAGTGCACATTTGTGGCCAAATGTAACACTTTGCATCCATGAAATGAGACTTGTGTTAAATAACCGTGTTTTTTGTGGTTAAACTAGTTACTGAATTGCTGTTATAAGCAAAGGAAGGAATCCTGTGGGACTTACAGGATGATTGTAGACGTTTTATTCCTGCAGCAATACACTTTCTCTGCGTTTTATAATGTTGTGTAGTGCAGTAATATTGTAGTCGTCTCACTCAGGTTATGTTCTAGGTTGACTTTTGTTTGTCTGTTCTTGTAGCTAACAACAAAATCATCTCTTTGGTTTATGTTCTGTGACAGATGATTAATCTGTGGAGTTTTTATATTAATTGTGATGACAGTTCAGCCTTTGCAAAATGTTATCTCAGTCTGCACCGTGATCATGATCAGTCATCGTTCCTACACCCGATCATGCCACACTATAGTGTAAACATGTCATATTGTTATATTCAGTGAAATAAAAGTTTGTATTACACCTTTTTCCCCACAAGATGGCAGTGGTGACACATCATTCTGAGCCTACACAACACATTACAGCTGCATCACAGGCGGTCGAGGTCCATTTGTTCATAGAGACACGTTAATAGCCTCTTCACATTTAAAAAAATATTTAATTGCTGTTAAGAAATCTATTTCACTTTTGTTCAGTTAAAATGACCAGAAATACTGTTGATAACGTGGATGTGCATATGTTTGCTGCACAGCCACAGTGCAGATATCCTTAACCCCCATTGAAATGCCTTGAAATTCATTGTGTTTTGGTGGAGATGCGTTTTTATTATTATTATTATTATTATTATTGTATGATGATTCCAATTACTGTTGAGCCTCTTTGAATATTTCCATGTGTTTGTGTGAAAAGTAATAAAATAGGTAATTGTGATTATGTAACTAAAATAATGAAATACAGTTATATATTATATTGTTTACTATATTTAATAAGACTCAGGTCAAGTTTTTTGCACCACTGGACTAACAATGACAGCAGCAGTCTGATACGGTGATTCATAGTGAAGAAGATCTTTAGCATATGAAGTGTAAGGTGTCGACCCTAGCTTTATCCCCGACCAATCAGAGGATGTCATTTTAGTTGATTGCCAATATTTCTCCCAAGTCTTGGCAATCAGGGAACAAAGGAAATAATCAGTCTAATTAAAAACTCACAGACAAACAAGATTAAGTCTGGTTGAGTCTGTTTTGCCTGTCTTCAAATACAGTTAGGCTTTAGATTTAGAACTCAGGTTAAAGTAAAAGGTAAACCTTATATCTTGACTGTTTTCACAAGAAAAAGAGTCAAAACAGTCAAAAACTGTGAGCTTTGCTCACTGACTGGGACAGGTGGGAGGGGACAGCAGGGAGACCAGGTGCCTGGAAACCACCTGCAGCGATCCTAATCCATCTGGTAGACAGTATGGCCAGCAGAAGGTTGTTACCAGGGACAGCGACTTCAGGTCAGTGCCCCTCAGCAGCTCAAAGGAGGGTGCTGAAGGGCGTCAAGGACCTAGCCTAGGTCCCATGGGGAAACCGAGGCCACGGCCCGCCTCTGGCTGGGACTGCAGGAACTGCAGGATGGCATCCGCTGTAGTCTCTTGGAGGTCCACTTGTGGACCGCGCACCTGAATATAACAATCCTGAGCGAGGGAGTAGGCAGCCCTGGTGCACGGGGCTCCTGCAGCTCTAGCACATGGGCTGGCAGCCCTGGGTATGGAATTTCACCCTCTCAGGGGCTAGGCAGCTGCCAGAGCCCTGTGGGGAAGGGATAGGACAGAGATCCGCTCGCCTGGGACAAATATGTCCTTCCGAACTGGGAGCTCCCATAATGTCCCGGCCAAAAGCAGCAGAATGCCGAACCAGAGTATGTGGAGCCAGAGGGGGGGCCACTGGATAGATAGGGTCCTACAGCCATCCTGCTGATCCACCATTGCCTGTGAGACACCCACTTTTCCCATCTTTGCCCTAGGCATGTCAGGGAAGTGGAGACCAGAGTCAGCATCCTCCTCCTGATATCCACCCTACTGTCTCCTGCCCAAGGACAGGGGCAAGGTAGGAGCCGCTGGAGGATAGGCCTGGCCTCCCAGCAGAGGGAAACTGCAGGTGGATGCCCTGGGTCATGAGCACAATGCGAGATACACCCCCAGAGCAGACCAAGCCACTCTGTGCTGCCCGGCAGAGAGGGAACGGCCAGAGGAAAGCCAAGCCTCAGCTGCACATGCCTCCCCGTTTCTGGTGCATGCAGATGCTATGTCTGTAAAAGGTCTCCACCTTTGAGGTCCCCAGGGCCCTATGCTGGAACCTTAGAAGCCATCTGGTGTGTGGAAGACCTGGGCTCCCTTCTAATTGCAGAGCGCCTGAGCAGGCCACTTGTTATCTCTTGTATCTCAGGCTGTCTCGAGCCTGTTGCAGGAGTTGGGCTGTCCCTGGGCCAAACATGACTGCAGAGTCGACAGACAGTCTCATCAGAAAGTCCTGGTCGTCCAGCTGGAGCTGGGACTGAGAGCCAAAGATGGCACCGCAGCACCCACAAAGAGGCCAAGGCGCTACCTGTAGCGATAGCAGGCTCCTTCGTGAGGGAAGCCAGGTGAGTGGAGGCAGCTGCAGATTGCCTATATCGCTGGGGTCTCCAGAACCTGCGAGACTGTTGAAACAGGCTCCCCACCACACACACTGTCACCACACACTAAACCACATACTGTACCAAACCCTGTACCGCACAAAGTACACAACCACTCACTGGAACAAGTGCAGATCAAGTGTCTGAGCCTCCTAAGACCCAAACTCTTTCATGGCATGCATTTTTAATTTCTCTTTGCTATTTCGGTTGAGTAATCATGTGGAAAACTTTTTATTTGGTGTCTGAACACAGCAGCATTTTTCCTGAGTACAAAAACAAAATGAGAAACAACAATTGTGTCCCTTTGAGCAATATGGCTCAATTGAAAGATATTTGAAAGAGCAAAACTGAGTATTGTTATCTTGACAACCCAAAATGTGATGTCCCCATATACATATGAAAATGTAACAGACTGCAGAGATAGTCTCAATATGATAGAGACCAGAGAGATCATCCAGCTTGTTATCAGCGCTCAGTTCTAAATCTTCTATCTCTGATAGTATAAGAATCCATTAATCTCTATAGAATTGACAGGATCACTGCTGACGGGTTTTTAGAGATGATGCTTTTTCAGGTAAGGCCTTGTATATTCCAGCAAGACAATCCTAAACTGCATACTGCATCTGTTACAACAGTATGGCTTTGTAGGTAAAAGAGTCGAGCTTCTGCCTGTAGTTCACACCTTTCACCAACTGAAAACATTTGGAGCCTCATGAAAAGAAACATATGACAAACAAGACGCAGAAGTGTTAAACTGTAGCCTGGATCAAAACATAAATGGGATAATTTCCTTCTACCAAAAGTCCAGAACTCAGATCTGATTTCATTTTTCAGATGTTAAAAAATCTGAAAAATGAAATCACAACCCTGTGTTTGTCCCTCTGTCAGCAATGACGCATACATTTCATTTCCATTTTCATGAAGCAGCTGTTGGTTTATAGCATTTATCCCATGAAGGACACAATTTTTTTTATTGTAGCCATTACCTTCAAATGCTCACACATCATTTGGTTGAGTTGAATTTGTGTTAAAAAACAATATGATTTAATAATAGAAGCTTGAGTGAGGGTGAGTAACTATTAAGGATGCAGACTAATAGTTCCAAAGAGTCATTGTACTGATTTACACTGTTAAACATGTTGTAGACAGCTCTTTAACAAATGATATATTACTTATAGTATAGGTATGCAGTATAAAGACACACTGTTTAGCCACACTATTAAAGCACACCCTTGCTTTATATACATGTCAGCAGCTCAGACCCATAGGGGCATGGAAAAAGATTTGATAGGTATCCGGTGTTATTCGACACCATGACTTTGTGGAACCTTTTGTTTGTTTAGGTTTGGGGCCGGGCCTCTGTGAATCAGACATGTTCCTATTCATCCAGCAGATGCAAAGTCACAGCAGAATATTACAAGTCTGAATGTCAGCATAGTGCCTTAGCTTCTTTGTTGTGCGTCCAAGATGTTCTTGAGCCTTCGTACACTGTCATGAGCAGTATTGTCCTGCTTGGGGAGACCACTCCTGCTGGGGGTGTCCTTACCATGTTTTTGTTCTGTAACATATGATTTGGGTATTACATGTGGTTTTCCAATAGAATATCATAAAATAACAGTAAATAGGACTTTTATATTCTATTTGAGAACTCAAAGGATATTCTTTCTATACTTTTTGTACATGAGTATTTTTTATGTAACATTCACATTGCAACAGATGCATCTGAGACCAATATGGGGTTAGTATCTTGAATGGAGACGGGAGCACCCAGGAATTGGATCACCAACCTTCCAATCAGTAGATGACTTGCTCCACCTCCTAAGCTACAGCTACTCAGCAGTTTACACCATGAAGCCTAAGCTACTTCCTACTATCGGTTCACCTGGTCTCCTTGGGATTTACTGGAACTATGTCATGAATTTAATATCTAATACTTTAATAATAAAAGATAGTTTGAACACCCTAACATGTACCTTTTAACTAATGCTGCTTTAATGTTCCCATCCTTTTTAGCCAATGAAATGGAGCAAACAGCTGAAATCCATACTTCTACCAATCCTCCACCATAGCCTACCACCACACTGGTGCTCGTTTCACAGGACTTTGCAGTGGATGGAATCAGGCTCAGGCCTGGGAATGCACTTACACTTTTAATGAATGCACATGTTACTCTGTACAACTGTGTAACTCACTAGTGTGCTTTTAATAGTCAGACAAAGCAGCGCTCTATACAATAATCTGTATCTGATTCTGGCCACTACGTTATTTATAGTGAAAACAATACAAATCACCAGATTTACCATTTCAAGACTGGATACACGCACACACACACACACACACACACACACACACACACACACACACACACACACACACACAC